CTCTGCACCACCCTTATTTCTTCGCCATTCCCCATCCGTCTCATCCTTCCAAGTTACCTAAATGCTCTACACAAATGGCTCCACGTCCGCTTGAAGAAGTCGACGGCAATGTCGACATGACAAGCGCTGGCCCAGGCGTCAAAGCCGCAGCCCCCAGCAAAGGCAAGCTCAAACGTAAATTAACATCGCCAATGGAAGAATCTAGGGCTCGTTCAATCGCCCGGAAATTGGACTTTACCAAGCAGGCGAATAGCCCATAGCATCGAGCCTTGACGCCTAGGAAATGACTTAATGGTATGTTTCGCCATGAAAGTTCCATCAAATTCTTTTCTCGATGTTTCTGTGTGTGTGCGTATGTAAGTGTAATGTGTAATGTGTATGTATACTACAATGTTTCAAAGAGACAAACAATAGGCTTTGCGCTGAACAAGTGATAAGTCTCATCCAACGAGCAAATAAAAAAATAGTTAGACACAAGAAGACGAGACGGTGAAGCACAAATAAAAGAATAATCAACGTATTTACGTCGAGGCAAAACATGAATATCACCTCGCCGTGTCGCAGGCCATGCACTTGGTCGCCTTCTCCGAATTCTCCACCCCACACAATCCACACCTCCATACACCAACTTTTGGTTGTGGAGGTTTCAGCCCCGCGGCTGCCCAGTCAAAACTCTGAACCACAGGCTTTTCCACAGGTGGGGAAGCAGCAGAAGGCGGCGTCGGGGCTATTGGAGATGTCGAAGACGATGAAGCACCAGGTCTCGGCTCCGTGCATTGATTGCATTTTGACACGGCACTGGCTGGATTCTTTAACATGCACAGTGAACACGTCCATTCGCCTGCATTTCCACTCTCCGGTTTTTTCATCCCAGCTGCATCCCAATCAAATGATTTTGCAGGAGCTTTCGATGGCACAGGCCGTTCGGTACCACATGCTGGGCACGTTGTCGCCAAAGAGTCCTTGTTCCTGACCAAACACGTCTTGCATTCCCATTCGGATGAATTATCGGGGGGTTTTAAGCCTGCAGCGGTCCAGTTGAACGCTTTGGGAGGTTCAGGTACCGGTACTGTGGTAGAAGCAGAAGCAGTGGTGGAGGTTGACGCCAAAGAAATAGGTGCATTAAAATCAAACTGAGGCAACTTTGATTGTGACATTTCTTTTACCGCCGCCTTGGCTTTGTTGTTTCGTAGTGACAGACCCGAGCCCGATGCCAGAGGTTGATCATCATCGAAAGAGAAGACGGGAAGGGAGGTGACCGGGAGGGAACCAACGTACTCCTTAGGATCATTGGCCGCCTTTCTTTTAGTGGCAGCAGTGTCAGAAGGTGCTGGAGTAAACGAAGAAGTCGCAAATGGAGTTGCAGCTGCGGCAGCCGGTACTGATGTGGCTCCAAAAGAAAATGCACTCGGAGCTGAAGGCGTCGCCGTATTCAGACCGGAAGACTTTTCACCACCAATTGAGAAGAGAGGAGGTGTAGTATCACTACTTGCAGTCGGAGAGAAATCCGAAGGCGCTGTCGGCTCGGGCTTGTAACTGAATCGAAGCTTGGAGGGCTCCTTCGGTATCGCGCTGACCTTTGGGCCGCTGCTACTAGGATTTAGGAGCGGTGACCGAGTGCTACTGGAAGTCGGAAATACCGGCGTCGATGCGGGGGGAGAAAATGGCACTTTACTAATTCCGTTTATCCCATTCCCAGTTGCAACTTCAATCACCTCCGAGGGCTTGGCCGCTGCTTGACCATCAGTCATCTCGTCGTCGATTTCTTCGATGATAGGCCCGGAGGAAAACGCCTTTCTATGAAGCTCGTTGATAGATGCTGTTGATTCTAGACGGATTCCTTTCGATTTTTTGCTCAAGCGCAACCGCTCCTCTTCGTCCTCGTCTTCGACTTCCTCGATTTGAGGGGCGAACTTGGATTTAGGTTTAGGCGCTGGTTTTGGTGGTGAAGGTGAGCGTGCTGACGACGGGAGGCCTTTTCCAATATTGACGGGAGCTCGGGAACGTTTACTACCCTATTAAAAACGATTAGAATGATTGTCAAAGATTACGAGCATATATAATATACCTTGGGAAGTGTAGCTTCAATGATAGCTTGAGCAGAATACCGTTCCTCAACATCTTTGTCCATTTCCATTTCTTTTTCTTTCGCGCAATCGTCCTTCTCACCAGGAGCCTTTCCATTGGTCAATGACTCGGGTGGTACAGATGGTTTGCCTGAGGCCCTTGTTCTCCTCGCCGGTTTAGGTTTCGGCCTTATCCCAACAATCTTTACCGGGCTTGCAGCCTGGTATGGGTTGCTCACATCGAGGTTCTTGACAGGAGTCACCTCTTTGATCAATTCACTCATGTAGCTAGCGGCTTTTGTCACCCGCTGCGTCGTTGACAGACCATCGTCTGAAGACCTGGATGAAGACGTAGGAGAAGATGATTGCCCCCAGGCTTGACGCAAGGGAGACGGAACCGCTGGAGCAGTGGGTTTCGGAGGTGCCCTAAGGTTGGATGTGGAGGGCCTCAAACCGTTCTTTTGCGGCGCCTTCAACTCGTTTGGAGTGCTCTTCGAGGAAGGTAAAGGGCTCGGAGAGGCCAGAGGAAGGTGTGCAGCCTGTGCGGCCCGTGTCGGTGAAGGTGCAGGCGCAGGTGAACGGACCGGCATTGAGGTGCCACTTGGACTAGAAGAAGCTGAAGCTCCTTCACCGACTCGTCGTCGTTTGGTGTCGGTTTTGATAGGTTCAGCCGCCTTTTCAGGACTTCCCCGCATGGCAAGACGCGTCCGTCGTGGTGAAGGACCAAATGCAGGCGAATGGAACCTGTTACGCGCGGGCCTTGCGCTGCCTCCACCCTTCCATCGATATGTACCGTTGGGGTTTTCTTTGAGAAGTTTGCGGGGGGATGAGTCTGGAGTAGACGGGGGGTTGACATAAGAAGGGGAGAATGAGAATGGCACTGAGTTGGTGCCGGTCGAAGGGAAAAGAGGAGAATTGCCTCTGACGGGGGTAGAAGGAGAAGTTGAAAACCGGAAGTTCTCATGTTCTTCCGCTATGAGCGAATTATTTAGCCTGGAAATCACTGCATTGCATCAAAATTTGCTTTACCTGGTGTACTTTGCTTGATAATGGATATAAGTTCCTCAGACTCGCCAGCGCTGAGCGGGGCACCTTTCGGACGTTCGACAAGATACTTGGACAGATACTCTAAGCCTTTCTGAGGGGACTCTGGACTGACATCATGGCTAAAAGTGGCGTTAGTGGGCGACGTCGACGAGGATGCTGTCGAAGGAGGGGGCCCTTCAGCGGACTCGATTGGTGAGGAAGATCGGTGATTCTTGCCATTTAAGGATTTGGAAATCTTTTTGAGGATTTAGATCTGCAGTCAAGCCAGAGCTGTACTACACCCACCTGTTGGCCTCGAGAAGACAGTGACTCTGCAGCTGCCGCTCGTTTTACATCGTCATTATCGGCCAATTGATAAGAAGGAAGTTCCTGTGACTGGCCCCAGGAGCGCAATGGGTTTAGATAACTGAGAAAACCAGCGATGGACCAAGACTGCAAAATTCATGCGAGTTAGGGAAAGTTTATAAGGGATACACAATAAGTGTTACCGATTTCTTGGAACCTGGCCGTGCATATGGTGAAGCGAGGGCTGAGCGCGTCGCAGCTCGACTACCACGGCGAGCAGGTCCGCTCATCGTTACCAACAACGATCAAAGACGCGAAAAAAAAGTATAAGAACAAGAAAGCCCGGCCTCGGACACATGGCAGCCTTACCTCGGCCGGCACGTGTAACGACTGACCATGTGACATTCTTTGACAGTCACACTTCTTCTCCGAAACAATACTGCAGCAATGCCCGACAAGGTGCTGCAGACTCCGTACCCTATTATCGATGTCGACCCCCATTTCTCTCGCGTTGTACGATACTTTAGAGCCAGTGACTATGCTTCTTGGGCCGCTACCACCGTTGCTGTTCCCGGTGCCCTCTTAGCTTGGGGTAATTTACATCGATTTCTCTTCCAGGTTCGCGTCAAACTGATTCATTCCAGAAATGGCCGACCCTCAAGGAGTAAGTGTCAAAAGAATAAATCTTGCTCCAGGTGAAAAGATGCCCGCCGGACGAGTGGTTATGGGAAATGCAATAGACATTGTCACAAGAAGAATGGCGACTAGCATGAGAGTCGCAACGTTCCTTGGCTTCTGTGGGGGCTTCCTTTTGGCGTACCAGAACTCTAGCAGTGCGTTTCATCAATTCGGATTCCCAATAACTGCTTCTGACAATCTATTTTAGTGCGTTTCTGGGGATGGACAGAAAACCAGAGAGAGGAAGAAAAGGACTTGGCTGAACTCTCTCAGCTCGCAAAGGAAGGCAAATCTCTTTATGGAGAGTCACATCAGTCTCCTTGGGTACAGGGTGCTGCTCATCGAAACTCTGTCTTTTCACAACTCAAATTTTGTGCGTCGGTTTACATTTCTTCTATACAGCGCGATACTAACTCGTATCCTAGCTGCTTTCCCAATGTTCGTAGCTAAATCCTTCAATTTCATTTCACCAGATACCATTGAATATTTTCACTCACAGGTTCAACTTTGTCAACCATCCCCATCATGGCGTAGATACATCTAAGTATGGTGTAAAGGAGGGATCTAAACCAGAAGATGCTTAAAACGACTTTTGTGTCCCCTTACAATAACGAGAAATTCATCTCCATTAAGCCCTTCAATGTTCGTCGAAAGGACACAAATACCTCGCGCGCTCTTTTTGGTGCGATTCTGTATGCAAGGTTAATCCTGCATCTTCTGTGCATGCGTCGCACATTACCGATTTCAATCAAGACTTTTCATAAACAGTTCGTTTTGTACTGGTTCTGTGCCATCCGCCTACTGTGTTTGCGTTTGAGCTTAATGTATAGTACTTTTATTGTGAATTCCTCATACCATGGGAAGCGTGCTACTCATTCAAATTGCTCAACTTGAATTCATGCTACCGCCAAATTGTTACTGTGGGGTCTAATAGTGTAGAGGTTAGCACATGGGATTTTGAAACAATTTTCCCATAACCCAGGTTCGAGTCCTGGTTAGACCTATGTGAGTTTGGGAGCGCTTGGTTTTATAATTTTCTTCCCTATTGGACTTGGACGGTGCTTAACGACATCTCACTGAATTTTTTGATCCTTCCAATTAATGGAATATGGAACTCAGGTTACAGATTGCCAGTTAGATCGTTGGCAACAATTACTTTTTTTACAACGAGAGAGAATAGTCAGAAGTGAAGGGGACCGTCGGTGATGCATGATAGTAAGAAGGTCGTTATAAGTATAGCTGTTTATTGTAAATGTCCGTGAGATTAGCATTAATAATTTGAGCGTGAAAGGTTCGGTCAATCATAATCAGGAAGGAGAGCCAAAGAACTCTGACAGGGTAAAGTGAAGATTGTTCATTAAATAAAGTAGAAGGATGAGAACCGGGTCGGAGTACCATCAACCAAAACGCCCCCCTAGACTCATCTATCGCTTCTCCGGAGGCCGAGGCGCCGAACTACCCCCTGGAACGAGACTATCATACGTCGGAGGAATTTCATCCGGTCCCTCCTCTTCCTCACCCGCACCGCCCTCCTCTACCCGTCCACCATCTTGATGCACTAGAACCTCCCTACTCCTTCCTGCTCCACTAGGCCCAGTAACGGACTTCTCACCACGACCAGTGAGGACACCTGGAGCAAATCCACCGACAAAACCTGCTGATGATGATTCGGGGTCAGGATTGGCTACGTTAAATCGGTTATACCCGGAACCAGACCCGGTGGGTGCGCCGCTGTGTGTGTTGTTGGAGGAAGATACGACACTTTCTGGGCCGGGGCCAAAAGGATTTGGGAGAGGCTCGGCAGGACCGAAACCATAAGGTGAAACAGATGAGGAACCAGAGGTACTTGGCGGAGCACCGCTTGCACCAGGGCGGAGGTTGTTGTTGCCATAGGCAGCAGAATATACCGAAGCTGGAATGCCAGTACTTGCTGATCTCGTATTACCCTGTGTGCTAGTCGATATACCAGTATGTTGAGCAGACATTTCGGTATGTGGGCGTGATGAAGCGTTGGTTGGATGATATAGCTGGTACGGAGCAACGACTCCCGCCCCAACTGCCGTTCCAGCTAAGCGTCCACCCATTCTGCGATAAAAGTCAGCAGAAGAAACGAAAGAATGACTGGAAAGTACCTACCCATCGTCGTCAGCATTATCCAGCCCTGATGTAGGAATATCTGGCAACGTCGGCCCCTGTCCACGAAGAGCTTTTGGTTCTCCCTTAACAGGCTTCTGGGTGACAATCCTATCTGGATCAAAATTGCCATCAAATGCATCAAGAGATCTCTGTCTTTGTCGATGTCTTCTCCACCAGATTGTAAGAATTAATATAAGGATGAGGGCACCAGCCCCTCCACCGACTGCACCTCCAACAACTAGAAGTCCGACGTGTTTACTAATGAAATTTATAACATTGAAGAAAAAAACTTACTTTTTCCAGTTGTAGACTTGGAACTAGAGGAATTGGACGCTGCGGTAACGGTAGCTCCGGGGGGCAAAACAGATTGGGTAGTGACTACTGTGGTAAAAGTCTGGCCATCAGCGGAAGTAGACACAACTGTAGATTGGACATCAGTTGTTGATGAAGCTGTAAGTGTTGAAGTAGAGGAAGAGGTGGCAGAGGTGGACGAAGAACTGGAGCTGGACGTAGCCGATGACACTGAAGAACTTGAGGTACTGGAAGAGCTACTCGACGAACTGGTCGACGATGACGACGATGAGGATGACGTTGTGCTAGTGGATGAGGTAGTGGAGGACAGATTCGTGGACGCTGTAGACCCGGTGGACGACATCTTGCGGTTGTATTGGTTCGGGTGGAAGAGCTGCAAGCTTTAGCCACGCGAGAAATCTTCTGTACCCTGCAAAAGGACTAGCCATGACGTCACACATTCACACGAGTCCGTACTACGACAGAGTTGCTAAGTACAGAGTCAGAGTCCAGACTCCAGACTCCAGAGTACTACGTACTTATCTTCCCTTCAGAATTTGCCTCCTGATGATTAGTATCAGTATGCACATCAGCTTTTCTATCCCCTTTCTCCAAATCGTTCGCATCCTTCCCTTTTGCTTCCTTTGCATCCTCCTTCCTTTTCACTTCCCATCTCAACCCATCCCAACCAACCCATCGCTTTTTCCTCGCCGGCGTCCCTGGAGGATCCAACCCCGGTCCTCTCATCAACAGAATGACGATTTGCCATAATGCAAACCCCAGAGTCATGATCGCACAGGCACGCCAGCCGTAATGGATGAAGACATATGTCCCGGCTGAAGTTCCCATCACTTGGCTAATAAATAGCTGAATTTGGAGCGGGAGTAGGTGAAAAATTTAGTAGAGAGGAGGAGTGAGAGGAACTTACTGAGAGGAGGTAAATCGCGTTAAGGCGAGCTCTGGCTTCTGGTGCAATACTAGTGGATTGGAAACAGATCTCAGAAAATGAAAACTAGACGAGATCAGGAATAGCTCACTCAAAAATATTGGATGCCAAACTAGTCTGGAGCATCTGTCTGAAAATATCAATCCCCAAGACCGCGATAATCACCGCTGCAATACTAATGCCATTTCCAACGACTTGTACGACCTGTAGCAAGCACTACGCTCCAATGATAGGCCAGACACGAAGATTGACGCTCACCTGGAAGACAATCAATGCAAGGCATCCAACCAACGACGCATAATACGCGGGTAGAGCATCAATGGTCTTTCCTACAAGCGGGCCCATAACAACACCAAACATGCCTACCAACCCGAAAAGACCTATGACGAGTCTAGACGGTAAAGTAAGTGCAACATCCTAGCAGATAAAAGCACACTGAGTCCTGACGTGGAATAATTATAAGGCTCTCCTCCCAATAAGAACGTCAATGTCACCCAAAAACTACTGAAACTTGCGCTACTCCCCATATTTACCAAACATGCCTGGATCAACACTGGCTCTGTTACCGCATACTTGGCCATTGTCCACAACATTCCCCAATATGTCATGCCTTTATTTTTCGCAGGATAGTCTGGTAAGAGTGCCCACGAGCCCAGCAAGACAACTGTTTGCAAGCCGATGGCAAGATAATACACTACACGCCATGTAACAAACTGTGCAATGATACCAGCGAAGACACGAGCAATAAGAACACCGAACAGAA